ACATTAGTTACATATAACCCGTGTGTGTGTGTGTGTGTGTGTGTGTGTGTGTGTGTGTGTGTGTGTGTGTGTGTGTGTGGTTACACAAATTTGTGGTGGGGCATTGGCACCCCCTAGCCCTAGTCATATTTTCTCATACCTGTTGTTCTTTGTTTCACTTGATCAAGTCTTTTTTGCATTTCATATTTCAAAATAAAAGCATATATCATTCCTGCTGACACCATACTGTACCCATATCAGACGGTACTCTAGGCTGCAATATCGGTATTACATCGGAAGTGAACAAGTTGTATCGGGACACCCGTCATACTTTTTAATTCTGATGTCCAGATTTGAATGCCCTAATGTTGTTTATGGAATGCATTAGTACTCATTTTGTCTGGTGTCACATCAGTTTGTGCTCACACATTTAGTCTATCTAGTATACTAGCTTATCATATTTCATGTAAAGTTGGTTGAGTTGGATTGTTTGCCTGCCGAATAGTCTCATGAAACATTTGAGAATGATTATGTACATGCTGGAAGCAAGATGCCTCCTCAGAATTTTTTGCCATCTTTTTATGGTACCCACACACAACTAGAAACACCTTTTGGGGATTGTCAAATATACGTAAAACTGCTCACTTATTTAAGGCAACACATAATTGGTGGGGATAATATAGCGTTTTTTTATTTTAATTATAGGTGAACTTCACCTATAATGCCAGTTACATTATGTTGCAGTAAGTGCAACTTCCCGTTCTTATGTTTATCGTCACACTGTGAACAAGCCACTCCTGGTGAGAACAAGACAACGGAAGAGTTGAAATAGGTTTCACTTTTATTGGACTGAAGCTAAATGAACCACAAAGAGCTGAGAGCAGAGGCATCTTTAGAGAAAGAAATACACACACACATCTATATATACTTATATAGACTGCATGTATATATGTATACACATGACTGTCACCCTTTTTATAAAAACTAAACAGGCATATACATTAAAAAAAGATAAATGACAAGGAGGGTGGCGGAAATAGCAGAAAGTGGAAATAAAGTATTTTCTTTTTTTTTTTTAATTTATATTTTTTTTATGTGGTTGGTTTAGCAGCTTAACCACATTAGTCTGGGTTCTATTGCACCGGCTAAGCCTTGCTTCTGTAGATGTAGAATCACATTCAAAAGTTGACGACACAGGTGACCTCAGTGATGTATAAAGTGCCCTTTAGGTTCCATGGTGTTAGAAAAAAGTTCTATTCATTTAAATTTTTTGTATGAAACGTGCTGCTTAATATTCAAGAGTTTTAAATCACAGCTTGTCTCTTTGCTCTCTCTCTCTCACACATACACACACGCACTCACACGCGCGCGCACGCACGCGCGCACACACACACACACACACACACACACACACACACACACACACACACACACACACACACACACTCACACGCACACACTTCATTTTTAGTGTTGATCAGTAATACTTATTAAATGTAAAGCATACATACATTTATATACTGTCAAAAAAGACCAATATACAGCATTATGAACAAGCCAGGACTATTCTTGATAGTCTCACAGAAACTAGCCCCAAATCTCCGAATCAAGAGCAAACGCAACATCCATTTTGTCGTTTTCATGTTGCTTTTCGGTGCACTTTGATATTTAGAGTGGTTATAACAATAAGAAAAAAAAAACCATTTAATTTTTAAACATGTTTGCTGTTAATCACTGTAAAAAAAAAAAGTCTCCCCCCTTTCTTTTCAACTTCACTTTGCGTGATCTTTGAGAATTGTCAAAAATAGTAAACATCAGTACAAAGACATCATATTTCCTGACGGAATCATATCGCGGATTTAAAAAAAAAAAAAAAAGGAAAACAAAACATCAACAACTACATATGTAATAAAAAAAGAAATCATCTCCTAAATCGACAAAAAGGCTCCGGTGCCAACATAGGAGGGGGGCATAGCAGATTTCCTGAAGTGAGATTGGCTAGTTGGATTGCTAAAGTAATCCGGTGTTGGGAGCCACGTTAAGGCCTTGGCTGCTGTGCTAGCTAGAATAATAAAATGTTAGTAGGTTAGTCGTAGTGCTTCCACAGGGTGTAGTGGTGACGGGATGGTATTTCATGCTCATGCCAGGGGATTAAATACTCTCTCTCCTCCCCGCTGGGATCAGGAGGGGGCTGTGCCTTAACATAGAACCACATCCCCCCCAGGCCCCTGTTGAAAGACATAGTCGGCCTGTCAACTCGCTGTACAGTTGGGTATGGCTAACGGTCCGGCGTTTGCTAATCACATGCTACGACCGCCGATTTGGACGCTTTTGAGTTGTATTTCCCGTTTGTCAATTCCGATAAATCGGATGTTGCTTCGGATGTGTTTTTTTTTTGTCCCCCTCACGGAGGCCCTTCCCCCCGCAGCCCGTTTAGTCAACTCCTTCGAAGCCCTGCGCGTTTTCCACAGCCATAAGCAGCTTCTCCCGCAGGTCCTCAAATGAGTCATAGGTGGGAAGGTCCAAACGGTTGAAACTGGAAAAAGAATATTCTGTTAAAAACATTTCATGTGTTTCAAAAAACTGCTGACATCATTACCGGATTAAGTACTGGGTTTAGCAGTTTACTTTTAATGTGTGGAAGAACAACCGCGAATTACACGTGAGTCATGCCAGTCATGCTTTTTTGTTGTTGATGGAAAGAGGAAGTTGCCTATGGCTATCTTTCAACTTTTTCAATTCAATTTATTTATTTATTTATTTATTGCACATGTTATATGTATATGATTTTTTCATGCGGTCATTTTGATTTTTTTCAAATTTGATTTTTCCGTAAGTGTCGAGAAGAATTGAATTTTCTCTCAATTCATACGTCAAACATGACAAAAAAATAAATAAATGGTGTAAATCTGACATACCACGTGTGGGCTCTGGGCAGCTTATCCGGCGTTCCCCATTGCTCGATAGTGAACAGCTGAGGACCGTTTGAGCCTGCAACAAGAACATTTTAGCACTTTTAGCATCACATTTAGTTTAAAACAATTCATTTTGGAGCTCTAGTTTTGCATATGGTTGCTGTCTATCAAAAAGGAGCAAGAACGGCGAACCATAAAGCTCAGCGAAGCCGTTCATGGGCACCCGCGATGTTCCCGTAACAAACTGTAGAAGTCGGATCCTCTTTTCGGCATCCATTAAGAGGACAACCTGAAGGAGGCAAATAATAATACACACTTTACACTGCACAATCAAACGGTCACAACAGACATTGATCCAATGTCACATGTTGGTGTCGCCCCAAGGAAAAAAAAAAAAGTGGCATGAGTATACATACACAAGCAAGAGACTGACCTTCCAGAACCACTGGATGACCGGGTGGTTGGGACAGTAGCCGTTTTTGTAAACCGTGTGCTGTCGCCAGTCATTGACGTCGACGTCGCCCAGGCCGCACATGAGCAACTGCACCAACAGAGCAAGGCAATCAGCCGCAAGTGTTTAAATGTTCATTTTAGTTCATAAAAGTGACATCAAATGCATACCTCCAGTTCATTTTCATCAAAGATCTTGATCAGATCTATTTGGATGAGCTCGGTGAAGCCCTGAAAACAAGAAAACGGTGATTTCCACACGTCAGGGTGATTCGACAAGTTTGGGGTTACATTGCCCCTTAGTGGTGACGAGGCAGCGGTGCAAAAATACCTCCAGGAAGGCATTCATCTGCTTCTGCACCCGATTCACAAACCTCCACTGGATGACCAGACTGTCGGGAGACAAAGCGTGTCACAACCATAAGCAACATGTTGCCTTTACACATGAATTGTTACAGCACTGAGGATCTCACTCAATGTATTCCTTCTTGTTGTCATTGGTGACCACCATGTCCGAGCCGCTGGGCTTCAGGTCCACCTGGTATGTCTGGAGGGGAGAATAAATAAATAAAACATTAAAAATTAAAAATGAAAGTGCCCCTGTCCCATTGTTGATACATTAGACAGCCGTATTTAAAAAAATATATTTTGCAGTAACAAAAGCAACAGTCATTATTCTTTTAATCTCACGCACGAATCATGCAACGTTGCATACCTGTCCGAAGTTGTCCTCATCGATGCAAAACCGCAGGTCCAGCTCAGTGGGATCGTTTTCCAGGATCCACTTGAGAGAGTTGTAGTATTCACTGTCCTACAAGGAAAATGGCAACACTTATAACCAATACACCGACTCAGGGGTCTCGGGACTGCGATGGCTCACCACAGACTCCATGTCCTTCAGGGAGATCTGTTTACCCAGCATCATCTTGTAGAATGGTCGTATGAAGAAGCCTGCAGGGGGCGCAAGTGAGCTGTGTGTGAATACAAGAACCTGAGGTGGGCTTGTCAACAAGAGTTCAGACACGCACCGTCGAGTAGCTTTCCATGAAAGACGGCCATTCCCGCCACGCGTCCGATGAACTTGAAATAAGAAAGGTGGTCCTCATTGCACAGGCCAGAGTTTGGGTTGATCTGGAGGGTGTAGTTGTCTCTGCACATACGTCACAACAACAATCAATGGCTTCAGTGGACCTTTTGAGGGCCACGTCCAACAAATACTCGACCTTTCCATCACTAAGGCTGGATTGACACGTCGAAGTTTCACTGAGAATTGCAATTCCTTGCTCTTGAGTGACACAATTTGGATATGTGTCATAACATAGTCAGCGGCACAAGAAGGGGGCACTCACTAACCGCTACATAAGGTTTCTCATTTGTTTCACACAAGTGTAGAAGTATTTTTATATAAATATTAACTCTGATTTTGACTTACATACTGTAGGTTAGTGATAGACTACACGAGTATTTGGATTTGGCTGTCGTAGGAAGGGAACCTAGTCTTGAACAAAGAAACATATCCTCTTGTAAAATTACGGCCTTCAATTTGAGAAATCTCATGAAAGACTAAACATCCGTGGACACCCTGGTATATAAAACTGCGCACTGATCGGGCGGGTGGTCGGTTGTAGAATTGCATGTCGTCACTCTCTTGCTAATAAAGCAGACAAACACAAGATCACCTGCGGTTGCTCAGGAACAGCTTGAGCACAAGGTTTTTCTTTTGTACTACTTTTAGACCCAAGAACTCAAAAACAACGGCTCTATTGTCTACTCAAGGGCTTGATCACATGACATTAGTTTTGTTTGTTCTACCTTTGCTCTACATTGCGCAAAAAAAAAAAAAAAAAAAAAAAAAAAAAAATTAATGAAGGTAATTGCTGGCGCCAACAAAAGCAGGCAATCAGGAACCGTCCATTATATTCCCTTGTTTTGAATATGGGAAACAGTTTGCATCAGGATGGATTTTTGAATGAGAGGAAGAGTAAGTCCAAGTGAAAGGACGTTTTAACAAGTCCCACTGGGAAACAACACCTCGGCCAAACGGAGGTGGCATTTATTTATTTATTTTTCTATTTCAAGTGGGCGGAACTATTTCTTGGACTTACGTGGCAGAGTATTCAAAGAGACCGTAGTAGGGGTTGAACATCTCCTTGGACAAGAGGAAGAACCACTCTCGGGCCACGCCCCCGTAGTCCAGGCCCTTCTCCGACTCAAACTCGATCCACAGGCGTGCTTTTAAAACGTCGGGCTTTTTGAGCGACATGATCCGACGGTACGACTCCTCAAAGATGTTGCCGCGATGGAGCTTCATCTCGAAGCGGTTGGGGATGTCAGCCTGAAATTGCACCGATTAAAAAAAGTCTGGTAAAACCATAAAACACAATACATCTTTATTTATATGGATAGTGTGACCTTTAACATTACAACTATCGGGATATATTTTACATAAGAGCAATTTAACAAAACATCCTGACAATTTCTCCAACGTCAAACAAATTTAATTTTATGAAACGGTATTAACCTAAGGTACCTTCATTGCAACAATGGCTGCACTTTAAACTGTTTTTGTTGGGAAAGCAGTTTTGGATTACTACAACCAGCATCACTGAAAATAAAACTAACATTCTTCCTTGCGTCAGTTCCACTACTTTATGAATCATGTTATTGACCTTTAACATACTCCAGCAAATGCTCGCCTAAAAATTATTAACGCTCAACAGTAAGACCCCCATCAGTAGAAAATAACATGAAACAATGATTTGAAGTGTTGATTACAAAAAAAAAAAAAAAACAGAACCAAAACAGCCATGAATACTCAATGAGCTCCAAAGACGGCGGGAGGCCTCTGCAATCAAGCATCACCATGGAAATTTGGGAGGTTTTCCATTGCAATCATATACTTACCGGTTTCTTTAGCTTCTTCCGAAAGTAGTCATACTTTTGCTTGAACTCTCGAGAATATGGAACAGCCTGCGCAGGAGACCAAAAAAAAAAAAAAGCAACTTCAAAACCCCACCAGCATCCTTATGAATGAATGAGTGCGGACAATTTAACAGTGGTACTCTTGCCAACATTTGGCACCGGAATCACCAAAAAACTGTACACCAAACTGTACTGCTTGGTGGAAACATGGTTCAAAGTGCCAATATGAGAGAAATGACCCTCAGGCGTAGGAATGCTAAGTGACTTAAGTGACAGACTGACAGCAGGAGGGCAAAAGTGTGGAGAGGAGTGCGTGTCAATTCCAACGCATGGAAAACATCAGTACCGAGTGGAAACTACTCACGGGTCCAGTGATAGCAGGACTCTGAAGGCGAGGGTCCTCCCACTGTGTGTTCTTTGTGTCTAGATGAGACAAAACAAACAGTGGAAATTCAGAAATACATTACAAGATTAGTAAGCGCCACATGGCCCGTTGAGGGATGGAAAATATGATTCTCAAGTGTCTTACTGTGGTCAATGTAGAAGGTGCGTCCATCTGTGTGAACTCGCTCTTCCCACCCGGGCTACAAAGATAAAACAAAATGGAGGATGACAAGGGTGGAAACAAAAAACAAAAAAACAAGCACAACCACCATTTAAAACAGGCCATGCTCAAATAGTCATTCAAATCCGTTCTTTATTTCAGGCTGGATTGAACTCTCCCCAAAAGAAAACGTCAATAGCAAAGCTCAATCAAACACACCAAAAGACAGTTGATGTTTGCTTTTCAAATGATCACTCCTATTTGAGTCAGGACTGCAAAGACACGACAGATACCACCACACGTGACACAGAGAGGGCTCATCACCACGAGTATCACCACCGGCTTCCGGTTCATACCGGAGAGCTATCACTTAAGAGCTTAACAGTCACAGGCCACACACGCTCTCACCCAGCACCGGAAGTCAGGCAATTCAAGTCAGGATATAAAGGGGAGAGTGTTATTTATTTATTTTAATTGGTTTAATTGGGAGTAGGAAGGGGTTGGGGTGGGGGGTCCTTAAAAAAGGCCAAGTCTACATTCTCAGCGGACACATGGAGTTCCAACGTTTGGTTTGAAGTTTGCCTCCCTGTAAAACTGCCATCCTACATATAATATGCATGCCTAACTGACATTTGCACTCTGGAAAGAATTATTCCACAAATAAATAATCTCAATATTTGTTTTTTTTTTTTTTTCAGTGAGCCAATTTGGACGCCCACCGTCAAGGCACCACTGAACATTCGTCACCCTTCTAGCTAAAAACTGCACAGGGTGCTTTTGTCCCTCAGTGATACAGTTACACAGACATGGCGTAATCTTAGAGGCCCCCGGGAGAGAGCCAAACGGGAGGGGTGCTGGTGCAGAGGCCGTGCGGAGAAAGAAAGCTGGAGGGGGATGAAAAATTAGGAAGAGGTCAAACCCATTCATGCTGGTCAGAAGAGAGAACGAGAAATACAATGAAAACAGAGAAAAGAAAGCGTAGTGCTGTCCGCAGGCATGACGTGACCACAGCGTGGCAGACCAGACAGGTAGGTAGGCAGGCAGAGGGAGGGAGCCGACCAACCTCCTCTGGTAGGTGCTGCCAAACACACACGGCCCCGGGGGGGTTTGGGGAGTGCGGAGGAAGTAGTGGACATTATTAGATCCACCCGAACAGAAGAGAGCAATAAGAGAACATACACACGCATGCGCACGCCAACCACGCACACTGTGAATAGTCACATTGTGGCGCTACTGTAATGCTAGCTCCCTTTTCACAACAATCCCATTTCCGGACCACACACACACCCGGTGTTGCTTCTTTTCTCACAGCACTAAAAAAGGAAATGCCTTGCACAGCCTGATGGTGAGACAGCAACCTTAATCACCGGCCTCGAGACATCAAACGCAGATAAAGTCATACAGTCGGAAGAAACATTATGCAACGCAAGGTTGAACAAAATCAATTTATATCATACCGCAGCTAATCTTGCTCGGTGAGGATCGACATAATTAGCTTTGTCTTTTAGTGATGCCACTACCGGTGATGGCAAAGAGGACGAGGAAGTTATTGTGATGTAGAGGTTGACGAAAGCAATATACTCATGTTCTCGCGACTCAGTACATTATAGTCAAGTCAGTGAGGAGAATAATATTTAGGGACGGGCGAGTACCAAGACCAGGTATCAAGTTGGGCTGATACAGTTGTACTCCAAGGTATCAAGTAGTGGTTGTATCTGTGATTTGCTGAATGCACTGTATATACTGTATTTTTATAAATTGGCAGCAGCCAGCTCTGTGTCGCTCTCTGAAAACCAGGAAATGGGCGTGTGCTGTGGAGTTACGTGCCGCATCACTTAAACGCCAACATCAGTCGGCCATTCAGATGAGCGTGACGTCACGGCCAACCTCTGCCCTGTATTCTTAAACCAGGCTGGAAAAGGTAGAGAGGAACGGCTCCATTGTAGTTGCACATCCCCGAAAAAATGTAATGGAAACCGTGTCAAAGATAAGAAGTCTGATTTCATCGATGATGAGAAAAATTATCAATTAATGTGATAACTGATTAATCATTGCACCTCTCATGTATAACTATACATGGTTTCTAAAGACTTTCTTAGAGGTCCCACTGTAAACGTCACGAGCAACAACATGTACTTACAGGAAGCGGGCCGAGTTCACCAGGCTCCATGGAGTTTTTATTCCTCATATGGACCGGATACTTTAACCTGGGATCCTCCTAGTTTGTGGTGCGAGAGTAGGGAGGGAGAAGGGAATGAGCAGAAAATATTTTCGATTGTAGTTCATTCATTTTTATTTCAAGTTGAAATTTAAAAGACAAATTAAGAGAAAAGGTCATGCCGAATCGAAGAAGCAGTGTTACCCACCCAGGTGGTGGTTCTGCTGTTGTGGTCGATGAAGAAAGGCCGTCCGTTGGGGGCTATCCTCATCTCCCAGCCCGGCGGCAGGAAGCTCTGCTGGGCCTTGTGCTGAGACTTGGGTGAGCTGTAGGGCGACGGCTGCGGAGACTGAGGGTTGGAGAAGGTGTCTTTCACTGCTCGCCGCGCCTGGATGTTGTTGGCCCCCTGAATGAAAAAAATTACAAAGAGCAAGGAACAACATCAGTCCCAACTGTCCAAGATAAGACTTTTAAATACAATTGAAGCTGGTATGGTCTGTACGGACTAATTTAAGTTTAATACTCCACAAACAGAGTATAATCATGTTCTTGAGAAGGCTTGAAGAGACAATCATTCGTAGCAATAGTGTGCTGATTGAAATCAGAAATTATTCCACTACACAACAAGAAGTTTGTGATTATTTGCAACAACAACAACAACAAGAAACACAAATCACTTCTCACCATGCAGCAGAAGAAGAGGTTTTCTCTTTCGGCCAAATTGTGCAAATGTTATTTGGCTGTCCCAGCAGGAGGGAAACCAAGTGAGGCCCCCTCCAGTTGAAAATATCACGCCACAGTGAGTAATACTTTACCTAGGCCCCAACCTCACAAAAAAATAATGAAAACAAAATTTTCCCGAAAAGCTGATTTTTGTACTTACCGGACAATTAGCAATGTTAAGAATGGCAATGATTCGCTGCATTTAGCTTCCCATCACTTTTAATGAAGACAGTTAGACATTTTCACTAAAAGCTGATATTTGCACTCACAGGACAATTAGCAAGACTAAGAATGGCACAGAGTCACTGCATTTGACTTCCCATCACTTTTAATGAAGAGAGTCAGTGCTAAAAGTCAGACTGACTTTGCCAGGCAGTTAACTTCTTGTGCTTTCACTCTTTTTTTTTTTTTATAAAGCACATCAGCCACACAAAGACTAATTAGTGTTCAATCATCACAAAGGAATCCCTCATGATTACACGCCGATCTGCACTTGACATGAGAAAACGTGTTAATTAACACAGTCTAATCTGAATGTTCTAATTATGTTACTGTTTTTTTTCACTCTGACTTTGACAGCGCCTTTTTATCACTCAAACTTTCACACACCTTAATTAAATCTCCACCAGGTCAGCTCTCTTGGTAGTTTGCCAGCCAGTGACAAAGACCCAGTACCACACATGTCCTATCTTAATTGGCCACTTTTCTGTGATGCATTTACCATCGCAATGCAAGATTCAATAGAAATAGCAAGTGTTCCTTTGACCACCTCAAGAGTACAGGAAAAAAATAAACGCCGTCTTTGATTTACTGTCAAACGCATTCTCCAGAGCCAAGATTGTTATTACACAACAGTGGGAGTGAGGAGAACTAGTTTGAGGAAAGCAAACAATCACCCAGGTAAGCAGGGGAACACAACCTTGAAAAATTAAGATAACTGAATAAAAGAGGTTAGGATTATGGGTAGTTTTATTAGAAAAAGGGTGGAGAACCTTGATTTTCTAATTTAATTCTTCTATATGATGCTACAATTGATGACTTTCTTGTTATTATATAATATGAACATTAAAACAGTTCCTCTTAGGTTATGCATTCAGCAGCATATGGCCCGCAGGCTGCAGATTCCCCACCCCTGTTCTAAAGGGGTTGCGGTGGACTGGGATGGGGGACTACATCTCACCTCCAAGGGGGTAGAGAGGGTGACAGTGGGGGAGCTGAGGCTACGTGGTCGTCGGACTTGGGGCTCATGGAGGTGGTTGTTGGAGACATTAGAGGAGGCATTGGAGGAGGGGGAGGGGGCAGGTGTCAGGGCAGAGGTCGCTCCCGACGGTGACGCCGCGCCCGCTGAGGTGCTGGGTCCATCTTCAGTCAGCTGCCGGGGAGAAAAGCACTTTTGAGGTTAAGACGGGTTGGAAACTAACGTCACACATGCCCCTTTCCCACTCAACGGTCGAGTGCGGCAGGAAACTGCAAAAACCAGATGCACAGACACAAACAAAACCACCAGGATAAAAAGAGATATTAGACATCCATCGCTGACGAGACTCGACAGAAAACCATGGGGGGAAAGGAACGCAGGAATGAGAAGACACGGCTCTGATCGGGAGTGTCAGAAAACACTTGACAAGAGAAGACCCAGAGGTGTGCACATGAAGAAAAAAAAGAAACAGGCTGCACACAAGGCTGAGAACAAGAGGATAAAGAGAATAAAGGCCATGACGATGTTGACGCAAGTTCAGCTCCCGCCTCCTTGACCTGCTGTACCTGCACAATTGGCCTAGTCCAGGTAGTGGTGCGGTTGTTATGGTTGACGTAATAAGTTCTCCCCTTGCCGTCCTTCCGCTCCTCCCATCCAGGGGGTAGGCCCGGGGTGGTCAGGTTGAACACGGCCGCTGTGGGAGACTGGCCCCGCCCGGCGTGGAGAGAGAGCAAAAATAAACGTGTCAGAGAAGATCGGAAGGTGAGGCCTCCAGGAGGGAAATGTAATCTGTTCGAATAGCAACGCAGAGGCACGGAACGGACAACCCTATGTCAGTTGAGGGGTACTGCAAAATATCAGATGGCGGTCACTTTTGACATTTGCAGTTTTTTATGTTTCATTCCATTTGTTTGGAGATAAATGCTTTTTGAACAGACAGCAATGAGCCAGTGTTTCATCCAACCATCATTTTGGAATTTAGGGTATTGAAAAAAAATATTTAAAAAAAGGCTATGCATGCACAAAGTGTACTTTTTTTTTTTGGTAAGTTACACAGATCTTGTGATCTACATAGTTTTTTTTTCCCCTGACAACTGCATAATATGATGTCCTACCACTACAATTCCCACTGCTACAATATTGTGACCTTAAAAATGTCCATGGTAAAGACAGGAACAACACAAGAAAAAAAATATAAATACAGTATCTGTAGTCAGTGGACAGATGCACAAATGAAGTGACATACAAAACAAGAGACAACATTACTACAATGAAACAGTTTCAGCGTGGCCTTCTTTTCGTGTATATTTGAGTCAATCTCGAGGCAAATATTTTTCACGTTGTTTCTAAAGACTGTCCGAGATGGAAATGCTGATCTGAAAGTATGAAATAAAAGGTGCAGAGTTTGTATTGTACATAAACTGAGACATTACCGTGGTATCCTCACCACCTGAGACTGTTTGAGCTCTGGTTCTTCTGGAATGGGAACGCTGCTGGTGGCAGACAACAGTATTGTCAGGAGGGGGCATTAATAAAGTGGGCAAAGGAGGGTCTTTATGGTGGGGGCAGTGTATTTAAGGAGACACTGAAGAGACAAAGGGTGGCGACAGAAAGTGATTGTGCTTGGGAAGGGATCCAACTTTTTGGGTAAGGGAGAAAAAAAATAGTTGAGGGAATCTTGGATATTGATTGTGAAGTGGATCAAAGGTACTGCAGTTGTGATTGGTTGATTCAGATTATGGAAAGAAAGGGTACAGAGAAAAACAACATTTACAAGTATGTCACAATTTATGTCAAGTGAAAGTGAAGTTTAAAAAAAAAAAAAGAACATCACTGGGAAAATTGAGGTGTTTCTTTTCCTATTTGTGATTGCGGAATTATGTGCGGAAATACGGTCTAGAGTTATCATCTATTTCATGCACGGTCATTTTACAGCAGTGTTCGCGAGATGTACATGTTTGTACATTTCAACATTTTTTTTTCCCAAAAATTACTCTATTATACATGTGCAGCAAATGCCAACTAAACCTGAACAACATTGCAGTGGTGGTAGCCCGGCTGAGGATAGCAAATATCTGCCTGATTACACCACCCACTAATGTCTCGTCATTGTTGCTGACATCGGCACTTGTAGTACTCCTTTGTTCAACAGCTCTGTGACTCAGCTGTGCGACAGCTTCAAGAATCATGTGACTGTCGGATTTGGAGCCTGTGACTCATGACTTAAGATCATGTGAGAGTTTCACTTGGAATGGTCAGAGTGGTGAAGATGAAGTATTTCCTTCAAAGTCAGCAATAAAGACAGGAAGGAAGCGGTAAGGTAATCCTAGTGAGGCAAGAAGGAAGAATGGTACAATAAGAGGGAAAAGTGAAGAGTTAGCAACACCTGTCTGGTATGGTGGGGAGGAGGGGGGGTGAAAGTGGGATTAATGTGTTGTTCACCCACAGCACCGACAATGGAGATGTGAAGGAAAAGCCTAAAAAAAAAGCCCTCAGGGGACAATGAGAGTGCTCAACAGTCACGGAACACAGAAAGGGAGGAAGTAGCACAAGAGAGGCGCCGGGACGGACGGAAATGCGAGCGTTGGGAAATATTTACCGCAAGAGGAGGAGGTTGGGCTTGATCGCTAACGCCATCAGTCATACTGGAGGAGCGCAGTCGGTTTGATAGCTGGGTCTGTCGAGATGAAGACATTTGAAAAGTGTCAGTGTTTATGTTTTATTGTTTTCCCAGTTATCAATAAACATAAAAAATTGCAGAGGTGACATGTTCCAATGTGTAAGGGCCTTATAAGTAAGTACGCCGTGAAAACCCACAGAAAACAAAAAAAAACCCCGATATATCGGGAGATGTGAACGATGAACTGCAAATATGTCGAAGGAACACTCCTCATGGGAAACGGTTCATTTTTTGGAAAAAGTCATTGAAAACGCTAAACACCTACTGAGAAGTTTTTGACCCACTGCCATTCAACTTTAAAGATAGCCCTTTAAAAAAATCTAACGTGAGGTGGTTTGAGCTCTCACCAGAACAGAGCTGGGCCCAGGCACTTCGCCATTGGTGTCGGGGGTGAAAGAAAGCCTCAGGCTCAAATCGTCAGAGAACTCCTGGGGGACGGGCGTCGGCGGGGGCTGTGGGGTCATCATGGATGACGTGCCCGGATGGGACTGGGCCAGGCTGTCATTAGGTTCTTCCTCTGTAATTAGCTCCCAGGACTACAGACAGAAAGTAAGAGATTCAAGCATAACAGAAGAAATAATAACACTACTGATTAGAATGACTTTCAAGATTATGGGATGAACTCAAATTAAAATGTGAATTTTAGGTAAAATATCTAATTGAATGAATTTTGGAACATTTAACTCCTGGTGGTACCATTTTTGATGCAAAAAGCAAAAGAAACACATGTCCAGAGTTGGCTGAACCGATGTCGTGTGGGGTTCACAGATGCCTTCAGTGATGTGATGCATGACCAGCAGTTAAAACTCTGAATTTCAATTCTCACTTTTGTTGCTGATGGTGTCCCTCTAATACGTTCTCATTTCTGTGCTTGTGTGTGTAGAATCCGTTCTCACATTGTCAATAACATCCCGCGGCTCCATGTGCTCGTTCTCCAGGTCCTCGCTGATGTGGCGTCTTGAACGGAAGACACGATGTGCCTCCTGGTGGATCTGACGCTGGCGATTGTCACTCTCAGTTTCTGAAATCACGTCCCTAAACATGGGATTGAAAGCTAATTTAAAAAAAAAAATCATGCTGGTGAAGGTTACGCAAAGCACACATGAAGGAGGAGAGGAAGAGTACATGTTGGAGGGCCGTTTCCACTGCGTGGAACGATTGTTGTGGTTGACATAGTAGGTGCGTCCAAGGTTGTCCACCTTCTCTTCCCAGCCTGGCGGCAATGGTGGCAACAGCTGTTGGGGTCGCTGCGAACCCGAATCCGCAGGCTCATCCCACCCCTGAAATGAAATAGTCATTCATTTTTGGACATATGGCAAAATGGACTCGGTCACATTTATGAACCTCACTGAGATCAATTTCTGGTAGTTGAATATCTTAAATGGATGGCGACATTTGGAATATCAAATGACGCTAAAGCTACTAGCTCATAAAACATTGAGAGCTCAGTTGAGAGCCCAGAATGCTGATTTTAATCTTTTTGCTTCGTGGAGGGGAATCCCCTAGCTTAAATATCAATTTGCAAGGATGACTGAGTTAAAGCCAAGTCAATAATAACAATAAATCAACTCCATGCCTGAGTTTACCTCTGCCTCCTCCCTCATGTCCCCAGCTTCCTCTTCATGTCCTCCTTGTTTGGGCAGATAGGCCATCTTCAGACGCAGGTAACCCTTCACTCTAGACTTGTGACTTGTATATAACAATAAACAGGAATGAGTAGATAAGATAAAATGGCCTATAAATTAGAATAAGGTGAACTGCATGTTCCAAAAAAAAAAAAAAAAACAAATCAATAAAAACATCACATCTATTTTCACCCCTTTGTTGCCACATCCTGTTTGTTGTCTCATCCGGATGATACTAACCTCCTGGGCCGTAACAGGAAGTCCTTAAACGTGTAGGGGCGCTCCATAGCAGGGTCCTCCGTCTGCAAATAGGGAGTATTTTTTAATTTTATTTGTTTCTTTTGGGATGGGCATAATAATCAAGAGTCGCGGCTCTGGATTACGTGGCTCTGAGCGTCACACTGGAATGAGGTTGTGTAATGCCTCTCTGGTTACACATTGGAAAAACAGAAACGCTACTTTGCGATTCTCAGCAGTCTGCCAAACGGTTTTCAGTCGATAGCAAATACTCTGCAACTTTTCAGAGGTGTGACAAAGAAATGACGCATACATTTAACACCCGTGCCTTGCGAATGAGTGTGTCGGCTTATGTGGAAAATCCACATACAGTCTTGTTAAAATATGATCTTATCCTAAAATTAATCCAAGTTAAGAATTTATTTTAGATCTAATGGAATCAAATGTCGTCAGATTAAATTTCACAGTGGTGTAAACATATGAGGATTACTACTATACGGGAAAAATAGAGATGGGCATCAATAGATTAATCAAAGATTAAGAATTAGCGTTGCAGATTTAATTAATCAATTAATCATCCCTCGTAAAATGACAAGGAAAAAACAAACAAAAAAAAAAACAACCGAAACCAACCACATCCACATATGCAAACTTTAAATATTCTCTGATCTCTATGCGTGTGTGTACACATTAAAACCCGCTGTGTCTCTGGTTTTAGAACCAGTTATATCACCAAAGTCTGCATTTTCCCACTGAGATGATGTAAATTTGACTGAGGTCGGTTTTTTTTCCATGCGGTCCAAATCAGGGACAGTCGCCGTATTGTTTACATTCTAGACATCTCCATGTCTTGCCAAACAGGGAGCACCGTTCAACTATTAAAGCAACAACAAGAAGCTACTTGCGTGAGCAATTTCCTAACACCAGAGACACTCCCGGCTCAACGGAAGCAGAATTGAATGAAAAAGATAAAGAGTACCAGAGCATCTAACAAAGGTCTAACGACTCCAATCCGATTTCATGCCCCAATCCGATGATTTCAATTTTTGTCTATTTTAACATGTACCTTTCAGGTGAGCCCGAAAACGACTCATGTGCAAAATGTGTCAACACAGGGCAGCAACATTATGGTAAATACTGCCTGGGAAAGTTGGGAGAGGGAGCAGACAACGGACTGGACGGACGTATCAGTATACCAAGTTTGAAGGAAATTTTGAGGAGGAAGGGGAATGAAATGGTTTTGCTGTTAACACTGCACTGATGCATAATTAGCTACATTGTGTTACTTGAACAGTGTAGTGTAAATACAGCTAAAGACAAACACACTCAGAACTCACCGGCAAATGACTAAGAGGAACGTCCACTTGTCCCAAGAAATCATCTCTGGTCTAGAAAAAGAACAAAAAGGTTAGGAGGAACAGCAGCTTTTTGGGGACTAACAACAATTCCAACAAGGGAAGAGAAGGGAAAACCACAGTGAGTGTTGAGGTTTTGCGAGATTGCCAAGGAGATTGAAAACAAAAAACAAAACACAGCAACAATTTGTCAAAGAGAAAGTTATTGATTTCAAGGATCTCCCAAAATAACCTCTGGCCTTTTTTTATGAGCATCTGCTATAGATGCAAAACAGCAAATTTGCTTGGAAAACATCTTTATCAGGATCTGATGACGTGACAGCACTTTTATATCTGTCAAGGAGCACACTTTTTAGACGTGTCCAAGACAGAAGGCTCAGTCTATGTTGGCCTTTGGTATTAGAAGCCCCATAAACCCAGAGAAGAACATCCAACTGCAACACGGAAGCCGCATCAGCCAGACAGAGGAAGAAGAGGGTTGTTGCCATGACAACATCAGGAATAAAACCAGGGAAGAAGGCTTGAGGCAAATAAAAGGAAACCTGTAGATTTGTCCATCCCTTTGCTGTAATTAACGCAGACTGGAAAAAGGGGAGAAAAAAAGGGGGAGGAAATGATGGCGAATGATTGCGCTGCACAACAGTTGCCCCTTCAAAGATTACCTGTCCGATGTGGAAAAGCCCATTCTTGGTAGAGGCCTGTATGTGGGACATAACTGATTTAGATGGCAGACGTCACAGACATGCGTGTGAAGAGATCGATTTTGGAGCATCGAAGCGCATTGAAAGTTTCACCGCTTGACAGTCAACCTTTGTAGTACTATTCAAACTTCAGGAGGTAAACGGGTGGCAAGTGCCGTGTTTGTTGTCAGGCTCATTTATGCTCAACCGAGGTATAAAAATAAATGCCTGCTTTTAAAATGGTGTAAAGTCAACCCAAATTCTCCCCAGATAAAAAGGATTTATCATGGAGGTTACATTTGAGGCTGAGGAGCAGACGGCAGGTGGTCTGTCACAACATTTACCAAAACGGTTTCTGCTGGCACTGCAACCCCGTGGTCCGTATTCTTTACGGTTCCAGCACCGACACCTTCATTCTGGCAGATAATCACGTTCGAGCGGGCCCCGATTACTGCCTGAAATTGTTGAGAGGGAAGAGTGGGCAGGCGTACCCAGCCTTATCATCCTCCTCAAGTGTGGCATAACATTCTTAACAGACCAGGAATCCAATGGTGAAAGGTGAGTCACACGGCAATGCTTGTCGGTTATTATAGCATAAATATGTCAACAACAGATGAGTGCATCTCACACATCCAAACACACACAAACTTTTGAGCAGTTTTTCAGATGTGGAAAAGAAAAAAGCCACAGTATCACAGTATCTGCTTTCATTTCCTCAACCAAATGGAAAATCTACTAAGTGACTGCCAAACTCCCCAAACGGTGACTCATAAACCCCATCTTAACTAGAAGTAATGTGTTACGTGTCCGTTCTGTCATTCACCTCACACTTTGTTTTGAAAAGCAGCCTATGAATAAAACTAAGTGAATAATGCTTTCAGCGCTGACGGGCTGGGTGGATTAAACGTCAACACGGCCATCCCTCGAGCTTCCTCGAAAAGTAACACATTAAAACTGGCAGTTTCGTGACGTCAATAAACAGCCCGCACAACGGCACCCTGGGGAGACGCGGCTGTTTTTTGTGTCCTTTAACGCAGGAGAGCATTTTAAGCTGCGGGTATGTGTATGTGGTGGGCTATAATTGCAGAGTCATCAAAGGGTCACAGTTGAGCCATGCAGCTGCCTCCCTGGGCCAGGTTACACTCAGGGTTGGGAGGGTGTCGCCAATGATCAACAGCATGAGGGATGGGGGCCAAAAGGGGCAGCCAGCATATGGAGTGTTATGGACTAGGACACGTCGATCAGGCTTTCCCAAACATCCCAATACTGTTTGTCCCACCCCCGCTTCTTTTGCTAGTGGGCTTTTTTTTTTTCCAGTTACGAGAAAGGAAAAAAAAGTATCGAGAAAATGCTCTCTTTTTATTCTGTGAAAAGAAATGCTGACGGGTAATTATTCTACCAGACCATCATTCCATTACTTTGGAGACGGCCAACAAAATGGGAGTCCAATTTCCTTGATGCCGTTGATTTCAGAACACTGTTGGAAGCACTTGTTGATAGCACCACCAGCAAATATTAGTCCATGACAAATAGCTTTTTGAGATATTCATTACTTTAGTCTAAAAACACACGTTTCACCTGAATCGCTCAACAACAGGTCCCCGAAAAAAAAAAATTGCTCTTTATTTTTCAGTTGGCAAATATTTTATGATCCATCTTTTTTCTAACGTGTGCAAATTTTAGGGAAGGCTCTTTTCTATTCCTTCATAAATGTGGACAATACTTTTCCGAGCAAATGGGAAATCCACAGTTACCGGATTCTAAATTACAGAAACATCCCATTCACAGAATCATCCAGTTAACCCAAAAATTTGCACCTCGGGTTTCAGGTGCTACCGCAACTTGTGGTCCATAGCTGTAACATTCCAGGAAACGGGCAGTTGTTAACAGAGTTCTTTGTGAATGGCCACCAAAGAGAGCGAGAGGTCCCGTCAGAGAATGGTGGGCATTCTGAAGTTGGCACACACAAACACATGCGGGCTTTCGGGGTCTTTAAAATGGCCCACTTGGGGATTTGGGGAAGACCTGCCATAGCTGTCTATTTGAGGACTGTTGGAGGAGAAATTAACTGCCCCGGTGTGGCAGCATTTACTAGTGACAGCAATATGGTTTAAAAGTTGGAATGTTGCTTGACAATATTACCTGACCAAAAATAACAATGAACTGACAGCTTTTTTTTTTTTTTTTAAATCTCAATTGTCCTATCCAACATCCTATCGCCATGAAAGCAGATAATAAAATCCAGCAGCATACTAGCGGAGAGCCGGAGAAGACAGACGGCCTGCCTGCTCTCCAAATCACCAAGCACACTTGAGGCGGTCTAAAGATAGAAACAACCAAGGAATACCGGTCTAGGTGGAGGTTACAAGCAAGTTTCAATATCTCGGAAAATCCAACAACTGTGTACAGAGAAATTAACCATCCACTCATTAGTGCTGGCTGAACTGGGCAATGTGCATGAAATTTCCAACTCTCTTGCAGCCGTCAAGTGTAAAAAAATGTGCGCTGGCTCCCCAGATTGTCATCGCCATCCGTCTGCACCATGCAGCTCTCTCCTCATCTTAGTTGGAGGGGATAAAACGAAGTGAAACACCAGCTGCTTCCCATACTACACGGAAAATAATAAATTCATCCCCCAAGATTTGCGCACCGCATGAAAAAAATTCAACGCAATTTTTCAATGAGTCCAACTAGATGCATCATCTATGCATATTCAGAATACATTCAAGTTATCATATTTGGTAGCCAACATTTACTATGCGTAAACCTCAACACCAAAAACCAAATGATTTGGGGGGGAAAAGAAACACACTCATTGTTTTCCCAGTATTGTTTACCTTGGAATTAGTTGTTGAGTCATTGCCAAGGATCACATCCTGATCTCCAGCTCCACCTGAGTTGAAGTAAATCTTGAGATGGGGCTGCCTTGGCGGGGGATCTCCACTGATTGTAAAAGTACAACCATTAGATTGTGTGTCCTGTCTCAGATTCTCCTCGATTGGTTTATTATCCTGCCCAGCTGTCTGGCTATCTGTTACGTTGTTGGGTGCGTTCTCCACCAAAAGTGGAGACGAACCTCTTTGCAGTCTAATTCTGGGGTAACGGACAATACGGCCACTGCTTGACCTCACAAGATCTACGTTGGTGTGCTCCTCCTGGGGTGAATCCGATTGATTCCTGCATTGGTTTAGATCTTGGTTCTGGTTTTGCTGGAGCTGAAACACAAGACGTGGTCCACTATTCGAAGCAGGGGACTGCTGCTGCATAGTCCATCCAGAACTACCGTAAGGTAAAATTCGAAGATGGCGTATGTCGGAACCATCGGTTGAGTTCCTCCGAATACGAATGCCTCCGACACTGATACCTTGTTGTCCTCGGTTGCACACATTATGACCGTTTGAACCAATGCTGAAGACCCTGCGCTTTGGAAAGTTTGGCTCTGTCACAAATATTTGCGAGTTAGAAAGATCTGGGCTGCAGTAAGGAGGCGGCGGTTGTCGCGGAACATCTGCTTGATCCGATGCTTCGCTGTATGTAGGCGCCGGTCCCGGAGGAGTATAGCAGGGTGGCGGGACATCATCAGCGTGGCCACTGGAATCCTCATTACTTAAACCATCAGAGCGCTGAAGTGAGATGAGCATGGAGGAGCTTTTTGTGGGCCGCGGCTCGGCATAGGCTGCAAGTTGGGGTATGAACATCGAAGAACTGCGTTTGAGCAGCGGTTCAGGACGCGAACCAAGCGCCTGTGGCGGAGCTGGCTGCTCCACGGCCTCCTGAGAAGGTGGTGGAGTGTTAAGCGCCGTGGCGACATCAGTGTCTCCATTCTGTTCGTCTGCCTCTCCTTCCAGTATCTCCGGGGCGGTGTTGCTGCGGTTGGAGCCAAAATACAGACGCAGACGTGCCATTTTTTACGTCCCGTCCGACAGCCTCGGTTCCCTCCAAAGGGCTGTGCGGTTGTCCCGTCCTCCAAGAGTCGCGCACGTCGTTCTTTTGGCCGGCCAGAGGACTGATCCCCGTTTTTCCTCCTCTCACTCTAGCCCCGCTCCCATTAGGTCCCACCCACCTCGAGTCCCTTCCACAACTTTCCTTCCAGAAGTAAATATGACAGGAGGGGAGCGGGGGGAGAACATCACACCGCAAAAACAAGAGCCGCAAACCACACGACACTTGAAGGGGGGGATGGAAAAGAATAAGTAAAAAAGGGTCTGTGTTCCCCAGGTTCTCAGCACTACCAAGCACTGGCGACAGACAGCAGAAATAGCCTGAGCCTAGTGACAGCCAGCATTCCTGACATGATCGGATAAGGGCGGCGGGCGCTTCTGGTTTCCAGGGTGATAGCGGGGTTGCCTGTCAGTCACGTGACTACAAATGACCCCCGCCCCCTGGTCAACATGAGTCATTACGATGCAATGCTACCCCCAAGTGCCAGCTGGGTAGCGGGTTACCCAAGAAATGACACGCTAACCCGGTCACACAGTGATCTTTTCTTATTTTCTGGACCGCCCACTAACACCATTAAAATGACAACCAGGTTACGAAAACAACAACAGTATTTATGCCTCTGATTTATGGTGGCTTGGGGATGAGGAGGCAAGGTACTGTATGCCTCAAAATAAACTGAGAAAGGCAGCAGGACAGTGAGAAGCAAAAAATCTGAGGGATCTGACAGTTAGAAGAGGAACCGATGCGCTGAGGCAGATTTTCTAGGCTTCTCTGATTCTCAAGGCTTCTCAAGTTACAGCAAATCTTTTGATACTATTTTAGTCCAAAATGCTGAAATCAGGCGTGCATGTCCAAGCACTACCAACTGATAACCAGCAACAATGGTGTATCTGCAAAAGAAATTGGAGGATTGAAGCTACTTTGCCCTTGAAGTAAAATTGAGAGGGGTGAGGTTTTCTGGCACGAAGGCAAAGAATCGACAGGGCTCCTTTGTCACAGTGGATAAAAATCAGCTTGATCGTTTTGGCCAGTGCTTCAGCCCAAAGTGTGTGAGCATTTCACAAAAAGGAAAGCAGACAACCAAGACAGCGTCAGTGAGGGGAAAAAAAAAAAAAAAAAAAAAAAACGAAGTTCCAACTTGTGGGCCAAAGAGCATCATGAGATGGGAAATACTGAGGCAGAGAAACAGAGGGGGAGAGTGTCAAGAATAGCAAGACACTCTCCACCGTGTTGGGCACTGTCAATACATGTTTGTGTGCGAGAAATGTTCACACAGAACGTGGATAAAAGAAATGCCACAAAGCCGAACTTGGTGATGACCAGTCTAGTTCAAACAAAATAAAGTGCAGTGGTGTTTGGGGAAAAGCCCCTGCATGCACCATGAGATGGAAAAGGCCTCCTCAGACATATAAGGAGCGAAAGAGTCTTGAGGCTGCCTCAGCGCCACTTCCATGTGTCATCCACTGCCACTGCAACACAACACTCACGTTGGGGAAAATACGACCTGCCCTTTTCTTGAAAGGCTACGTGCCAGCAACACCAACTTGACGTTCACGGCGCAATACTGATAGATAGACACATGGATTATAAACACAAGATTTATATGACCCTGCAAAGACCACGTCAGTATTTGGTGTTCATCAGCTCACCAAAAAAAAAAAAAAAAAATCTCTGCAAGGCCTTATAAGAAGGGCTTATCCAGTCAGAGCCATGAATTGTGTCCTGGGAAGCATCCACTAATGGTTCTACCAAACATCATTGGAATGACCTTCGCCGAGCTAAAGTTACAGAGAAATCATCACAAAAGTCCAACACCTGCTTCACGGAAAGTCTTTCTATAGAAACCCACTTGGCTTATCTCTATCTCGTGTCAAGATTGCTTCCAAATCAAGGCTAATGAACAGACGTGAAATAGCGTATTCATCACCAAGACTCATTTGTGTTGTTTTTAATTGCTGTAACCCTTGACATTATATGCAGCCTTTATGGTGATCACATACTCAGCTTCACAAGTCAAACAAACATGCACAGGAGCGACATTGTTATTGCGCAACAGTCTTCATTCAGTTCAATAAAAGTGGCGTTTCTTTCCGCATGAAAATCCAAAATCGCTATGTGAGAATGCAGTAAAGGGTCATTGGCAATATCAGTTTTATTATCATCACATTACATTTGAAAGATATGAATCCATAAATCAGTACTGGCAAAAAAAAAAGGGGAGGAAAGAAAAAAATATGACACGGCATAATGAGTTTAGCGGTTGAAACAAAATATACAGACTGATAATGTAAGGTGTCAAAATGCCAAGACGTGAAGAAGGAAACGGATGTCGAGGAGGTGGGAGGCAGGGGGGGTGACACTTACCAATCTGTTTTCATCGAACACCTCAAACAGGAGCCGGTGATTCTGTGGACACACCTGCATAGGCGACAAAAGCAATCGTGTTAAGAATGTATATTGGAGAGATAGATGTACATGAACGCAACATTATCAAAGCTCATTTTATCTGCCTTAGCCTTTTACACATTGTTCAGCAAAGTCGGATAATGACGCACTTTCACGACGACGACGTGGCAGCCCACAGTCAGATAATTTGATGACAGTGGCGGCATCTGATGTGACTAAAGTTTACACCTCGGTTCTGGTATTTCTTTCTCTCTGTTAATACAGAAGAGCGACTTGAAACAAATGCCAGCTTTTTACAACCTGGGTACGTAAGAAAGACTTTACATACATGCGTCATCCTAACAACGATAATTCCTCTTACAGTACAATATTCCCCGATCAACTTTGCCTCCGCCCCATTACGTGATATAGAACGGTGAGACGGAATAAAGGTAGAAAACATGCTAGCTTTTAAAGCAAGTGCAAAAGGCTATTGTAAACATAGAACACTGGGAAACGTGACATGAAAAGCAAAAAATAAATACATCGAAAGAAAGTGATGCTCACCCTGAAGTAGAATTCCTCGTTCCATTTAGGATTGAGTGTCTAGCACAACAAGAAAACCAACAGTTAGTCTGGCGATGAAATATGATGCACGTAGCTTCGAGAGAAAACTTTGACCACAAGCCAAACTTTTATCTCCGTAATGAAAAAGACCACGAAAAGAGATACATAAAGACCATGGAGGAAGCCTTCTTTTTTCTGCTCCACATAGCAGTGTATTGTAAGCTATTTATATCCTTGGCCACTGGCAGTATAGGTTTGCCTGTGTGTGTGTGTGTGTGTGTGTGTGTGTGTGGGGGGGGGTGCCGGCTAGCTAGTCTGCCTGCTTGCTTGGCTGGTGGCTGCAGCATCGTGTTGGCTGGTGGAAAGCTACTGGTAGCTAGCGCTGGCTCAGAAGAACTCAGAAAGTGACCCAAGATAGGGCTTAAAGTCAGTTTTCTGAGACATGAATGAGAGTCTACAACAAGCCTTTATTTGTACAAACTAATTTTTGGATTATTATTAAACAACACTAGCATAAACCGCAACACAATTTGCCATGACGGAGAAAATACATAAACACTACAAGAAATGGGGCAGGCTAGGTATACATTTTGTAGATTCGGGGTATGTGTGTGCTAACGCCAGTTAGCCATGACTCTCGGCACAGTGCTTCTGTTTCCGGATGATACCAGTTTACCACGACTGCGCATGTGGGTCACACACAGGCGTACGGCTAAAAGTAACAGTGGGAGACGAAGCAGTTTGAAGAGTAAAAACAAAACTGCAAAAATAATGCTGTCGACTATTAAACTAGCTATCAACCGCTGTCGCGACTAGCTTCCACAAGTACTGCTGCTTTGGATAGCAATGGTGTTCAATTGATAAAAGACAGTTGTGGGTTGGAGGGGGGGCATTTATTTGTTTTAAGTGTCTTGTGGTATCTAATTGGGGAACGGTGTCTATTAAAAGGGATTGTCACTATTTGAGGAGGTAAGTAGCATTAGCTTCGACTAACACATTTCCTGAAGGATGAGAGCAGCAGCGTGAGTAGAGACAAATGTAAGCAGCAGGACAGTAATTGTGCGGGAGGACATGATTAGATCGGGCGTGGCTAATCTGATGAAGTCAAAGCAAATTAGGGCTCACGCAAACTCGAGCAGAGGAAAAAGCGAAGCGGCACAATGTCAGCTCGATACTTACCTTTTTGATCGTTTTTGTCTGGACCAGGGCAAGCTCTCGCGTTTCGTCGGTGACATAGAGGGAGAGTTTAACGTAGGGGTCACTGAAGACAGACACAAAAAAAATATATATCAGAATTTTGAAGCAAAAAATAAAGTCCAGGGTGCTGTTCATCATTTGATTTGGTCATATTTCGAATCCCCAAATAGACATAACTACATCAGAGCAATCTAGTCCACAAATGACAGGTCTAAACGAGCTCGACGTTCCTGTCCTTCATTCTTAACAAACTGGGTGAAAAAAAAATTCCATTTGCGGGAACTGCTTTGTCACACTGAGAGCTGTCTGTAAAAATTGCAGTCTACCCAGATAAAAACTGCTTGCCTTTGGAAATTCGGAGATAAGGGCTATAATAGCTTATTGATGTCGTTGCAGGGCTAAAAATAGGAAGAGCATTTCCAGATAAGTAGCTGTAATGATTTAATTTATAATAAAAAATAAAAAATAAAAAAAAGGTGGCATGGGGACATCCAGCTGGTTTTGAAGAAGAGGATGCTGCAGGAAAGATCTGGATAAAAGCTCAGCACAGCTATTCACCAGGAAGTCTCACCACTGAACAAAAGTGAAAGGAAACTGCAAAGCCGTATTTGTGTTTGCCTGCATCTTAGCAAGCTACTGTGTTCTTAATCACGGTACGACACAGCATGTCAAGATAGGACCACATTTTTTTTTTTAAGTCAAACTACTCCCACTCTCATTGAAATTACAGCCTGCATTTGAACTTTTTAGTCCTCTTTCCTCCACGACCAGAAGAGCTCAACTTGATTGCTGATTATTATTCTCATTATTGCTTGAGGGACCCCCGCTGCCTCTAAGTGTGTGTTTGTGAGCTTGTGTGCTCTGACTGAACAGATACAATTGGACCGCTGTGTCGTCAATTCACTGACAACTCACTTGTCTTTGTTGCTTGACGGCCCAAAAAAAAAAAAAAAAAACCTAAGAACCCGCCAAGTCGAAGGCCTCCTTCAGTGTAAATACTTGGGAGGAGAGGCTCAAAGCATTCAAATGGGCACTCGGTCAACATCTTGGTCAGCAGTTGAGCATATATGATGTGAACACACTTGTTGAAACCACAAGTGAGGGCCCAATAGAAACAAAGAACCTCTATACAGTTATATAGCACAACAGCCAGCCCCAAAAAGTTGAGAATTAAGGTTACTCTGAGTCATTCGTTACAACTGATTTGCTAAACTTGAATCACTGTTGTGTTTTCCCATCCAGTGTTGGAGAAGGTTTCAGTTGGGGTGCACCAAAAATTCGGTCACCCCAAAATTGTACCAAAAGCCAATTTTTTCGTCACAGAAATAACAGCTGAAACACAATGCCGAATTACAGCCGAATCTCGATGAAAACATTTGCATTAACCATGCGAGGCAAGATAGCAGGTTACGCATTGACTGATGGTGCGGTGATGCATTAATAATTAATCGGTGTTTTTGCAAAGCGGCGGCAGAAAAGAGAAATTGAGGACAGCCCAAATGTAATAGCTTTGCAGTGCAGAACGGGACAAGAGCGGGACTGAAATTACATGACTTCTACATCAAAGGTTATGACGAGGTCAGCAAGAAAGACTAAAGATATATCAAAAACTCGAAATTATTTGCCAGGTCCGACGCAAGAGATGATTTCTATTATGTAACTCCTGAGGTTACACAATTAAGACTAGAAGTGCGATTTGCTTTTTCTTTGGCTTGTTAGTTTTTTTTATAATGCGCCTATAAAGTTAGTATTATTTTAACGGGAAAAAAAATGCTGATTCAAATGGCGTGTCCAGGAGCAGATTGTGGTTGAAATGAGCGGTTCCACCGTACCGCAGTACAAGATTTTATATGGCAAACGTGTAACAGAGGTCGGTTATAAATAGGCGAGATACAAGGGTAATCATTTATTCAAATGGGAGGTAAAGGTCTTTAACGCTGTGAAAAATAATGAAAGTTCACACAAATGGGCTGACCGCTTCACAAATCTTTTACAAACATCAATGAGCGGGAAAGTCACAGCATGTTCAACTAAATGCTGGCTGGCCTGGCACATGACTTTAAAGGGATCTTGTAAATATTTCTGTTCTTTTTATTGTTTGTATGCAAACACTTGGGTCTCTCGGATCAAGTGGGAAATGAAACAAGCAAGCAACTTTCAAGCCACAACCAAACCATTTGAC